TTTGTGTGAAAATGTTAGATGTTTAGTATTTTGTACAAATTTTATCTTGTGTATCTCAAGCGAAAGGATTAGTGATGGCAATTTGCCCCGCCCCGCCCCGCCCCGCGCCGCCCCGAATGGGGCAAAAAACCAGCCCCGTCACGGGGTGTGGGGCGGGGCGGGGAGTAAATGGTCGTCCCGTCGTGGGGCGCAGGGCGGGGCGGGGCATCCTGCCTCGTGAAGAAAAAGGAAAAAAAAATTAAAAATAATTTTATTTCTAGGCAATTCATCCGTTAAAACTTATTTTAAATTTGTATTTTATTCTCTAATAATAACATAATTCGAAACTTTCAAAATGTAAAAAAATAAAAATAAAAAAGAAAAAATAAAAAAATAAAAAAAATTAAACGGGGCAACAAACGGGGCAAAAAGTTGCCCCGTCCCCGCTCCGCCACGCCCCGTCTAAGGCGGGGTGGGGGTGCACCTGCCCCGAACCCGCCCCATTGCCATCACTAGAAAGGATGTTTAGAATACGAAACCTTTACCACTTCACCATTACTACTTGGTTGTCATCAAATTATCACTTTTATCTTCTTGTTACATTTCAAAAAACAAAAATGAAAATTTTTGGCCCTCAGTGATTCTCTGCCTGAGATGGTCGCCTTGTCCCAGGTCCAACCTCATATCCTTGTTGAAATTAGCTAAGAATAGATAATCTTCATGAAAAAAGGATGCATCTCATGAGATTTGATTCAATACCATATGCTTGATATTTGACAACACATAAATTGAAACATTATTAACATAAAGTTTACAGTTATAATTTATTGTGTCATTATAATATTAAAGCAAAGAAATAATAAAAGTTTCAAATTTGTTCCCTGCGAAATAGAAAAGGAAATATTACCGCAAATTATTATACGTCCCTAAAGGGCCAATAGATGCCGACTATAAATTAAGTTGTTGAGTATTGAACTAATAAATTACAAACCTTATGCACAAAAAGCATTTTTTTTTATCAAGTGACTAATTCAGTTTTATTTCAATTATTTTTTTCGCTATTGAAATCGAAATCGAACTATTTTAACTATTTAAAATAATTGGACTTAAAACCAAAATGTTGATCGGTTGACGTGGACAAAAACCAACGACTTCGTTTGACTTGGGCTGGTTGACAGTTTTTCTTGTTTTACCATTTAATTGGAATTTAAATACTTCAAAATTTATTTATTTTTTTCAAGAATTTTACTATCTGATCAAGGAGGTTTAAAAATATAATTTGGAGGTGGATGAGAATAAAACATTATACCAATTATTGAAGAAGAATTGGAGGTTGAACATGTTGTGAGAAGGCTATCCTATATATTGCTTTTGATCATGTTGTTTATGGGATAGCTGATACACCATAAAATAGTTGTCTTGGTGAGTTTGGATCAAGCAAAATTGAAAACTCACATAGGAAAATGAAAATCTATGCTGACGAAACAGGATTGAACTTCCTATTTCGACAAGAAAAACTAGAAATCGACTACAAAATAGGTCCGAACAGTGCTTGAAACTAAAGTAATTGTAAATTGAGGAAATCACAGCTATATATTATATGAATTCAACCGCCGAAATCGGTTGAACCGTGACTAGTTTGGACGGTTTATAATATGTGAAAATTACAGGGAGCCCTACTTTTAAAGATTACATATCAAAAATCAGAATTATAGTTTATATATATACAAAAATCAAAGCATTACAATATTTTAATATTAAATGAAAATATTATAAAATTCAATTAATTATATATCCAAATCCCAAACCCTAATATTCATTTCCTTCTTCATTTTCAATCTATTTTCTCTCTACGCTACCTCATCTCCTCTCTACCTCACCAGTCACCACCATCGCCAAATGTTGGAAAAGCACTGCACGAAGTCGTGCATCGCCGCAAATGGGGCTTCTCTACATAGTTGTCTAGCATAGAAGCGGCTCGCAGCGTCACGAGCCTTCTCAGCTGTAGCGCCGCCCGCAACGGATGTCGTGCGTTGAGGTGCCTCGCACAGTGAATGGTGGCGGCGATGGTTTACATGTTTTGGCTATGGTTTTTATTGGTGGAGATGGTGGTGTATCTGGCACTAGATGTGGGTTTTGTTGGATCGACAGTGGGTCTAGTGGGATGGATCTAACGTTGGTGTTGTTGGATTTGGTGGTGGCGTCTGTGATTTTGTTAGATATGGTGGTGTTTTTTGTTGATACAAGCAATGGTGGTGGTGTTGCTCAGCGGCAGATTTGGAACTTTCTTTTTTTTTTTTGGGTTGTGAATGTGGATTGGTAGGCTAGTGGTGGTAGTGGCAGTAGTGGTGTGACTGTATCATTGGTGGTGGTGGACTTAGGTAAGGATAAGGTTGGGAATGGAGAGAGTTTGTAATTAATTATTTGGTGGATAATAATCATAAAAAATTTGAGACCAATAATTTTGTTGATTGTGACCAATAAATTGGTTAATTTGCAATCAATTAATAATATGTGATTCAAAAAATATGATTGTGACTTACAATTTACTTAAAGTTGTGATTGATTCATTTGATAATTTTGATCGTTAAATAAGTTGTAACTTAAAAACTGTGATTGATGAATAAATTGTGATTTATAAAATTATTGATCCGTGATTGATAATAATCTGTGGCTTATAAATTTTTTAATTCATTACCGAGAAATAATTTGTGACTTATAAAATTTTTGATCTGTGATCCAGAAAATAATTTGTAATCAATTAATTAGATAATTTGTGAACTTAATATATTTAATTAATATAATATTTTTTAATTAATAATTTCATAATAAAATTTAATAATATCTTATTTTTGAAATTTTGAACTTTATTTCTTATTTTTGAAATGAGCTATAGTTAAACTTTTAGATATGAATTTTTTCCTTATAATATCCAAAAGATTTTAAAGGTTAATTAGGCCAAGTACGATAGTTGGGCTCTTATAAAAACACTTCTTTAAAAGAATTTCAATAACACTACATCTTCAATCCTTCTTTTCGTTGTTCCGAACCCCAAATGTCTTCTGCTATGTCGAAGAAGACGAAGAAAATCAAAATGTATAATCTAAACCACCGTTGTCTCACTTAAAAGAAAACTCTTTAATTCTCATACTCATTTTCTACTACATATTCACATAATAAAATATTTTGTAAGTAAATATTCAAAACATTTTCCTACTTTTATATATATAAATTTTTTTTTCTGATAATGCCATCAAACATGGGCGAAATTGGGTCTTCACCTCGTGAATTATTTGTTCCATTACCCACCAAATTACCCAAGTACATTGTAGGGCACACACTTGATCCAAGAACTCTGAGCTAGTCCCCGAGTATGGGGATGTGATACTGATTTTTCATGAGTGAAGGAGTGTGCTCTTTGCTATTTTTGTTTTTACGTAAATAATTGTTCTGTTACACCTTGTCACACGTGGTTCCACCTGATCGACCTACTGTAACCCTTGGCCCACTTAAATTGAAACACGTAGTATGGTAGCCGAGGCCTTGAAGCCCTTGGAAGGCAACCAGACCTAACACTTTAATTGAAGCTTAGCATTATGAGGTCAGAAGAGCATTGGCCGAAGTGGTTTAGTCTGAGGCCCATGCGCCGAAGCTGAGACTTCCGAAACGTCTTCACTATCATTTCTTCCAAGAGATCTTTCTACACAAGTATCTTCTCCGAATGATTGATGAGACGTCTATCATAAACTTTAAGTGTCAAATCTTGTCAAACAAAGTGGTGGCTTTGCCAATTAATAAATGTAAAGTGGGCTATCAAGTCAAAATGATGTCTAGGATTAGATATATGGGTCAAGAATATGATGCCACGTATACTCCCATCCGAGGCCACAATTCACTTTGTATTACCATAAATACTCTTCCATGCTACCATTGTAAAGCTAATGCATCTTTGAATGCAAGATTCAATACTAGAACAAATACGAACGATACATTACATTTACTCTCTTGCAATACATCAAGATTACATACGTAATCAACAAATGCGATTGGTAATTATTACACAATCGTGCTACAAATGTCTCACCGGATTCCGAACTTTGCCATCCCGCTCCTTTGAGCCGCTCCCACACCTTTTCTTAGACCGTTCCAGACCGCTTGCGTGTCTTAGTGTGTTGGACTAGACTTACGTGTGTGCGAATGTGTCTTGTATTTGTTGTCTACATGGCCCCAACCGAAAACGAGTTCAACGAGTTCAGTTGCTGCCTTTATAGATTTTCTTCTAGTGGGCTGGGTATATATTTACTTTTGTTGTACAATGTGTATTATTTTGATTGTGTCGAACTTTTTACATAAGCAATAGCCACAAATACCAGGCAAATATTTACGAATGGGATAGATTTTTGCAGCAGTCCTTGTGTTACAAATTTATATTTGCTGATTTTCGTGCCCAAGGATGCCCATCAAGTAAAATCTCATTTCTTGCATTTTCTTTTAAAATCTTTCTGATCCTTGAGCCGGGATTACTCAAAGTTGTCAAACAACAATTACCATCATCTCTCTTTATATATAATTTGGAAAAAAATAGGGATGCATGACCAACAATGGAAGGAAACAGGAAAATAAATGTTTGGGTAACTTAATAAAAATAACACGTGAAAATTGGAATGGAAATTTAAGTTACTGTGTAATATGAATTGTTGCACTATAATATATAAGTTACAGTGATCTTCATAAATAGCCAAACGCCTGGAAAGATCTGAGAATGTGTATAAACCACTAAGGAATATGAACATCTATTATTGCCTAATTAATCTACTGTTACACTAACTAATAACTATAAAAATTAAATTAAATCATTAGTACGTACTTAGTAACCGCCAAGTTAATGAGACCCCCATTAATTCACGCATTAATTCAAGAATAAACTTTAATGCAAATAACTGATATTCAAGCTATATAATCCCTTTTCTGTGTCCTAAATTGTCATCAATAAAAAATCTATCTTTTACTTACAAATTGAGATGACTTCCAAATTTGTTCTCTTGGTTCTTCTTGGGGTTCTTATTTGCACCACCACTGCGAGAAAGCTAGTTGACTCAAATGATTTTGTCGATGATAAAAATGCCTTCTTTGATCACTGGAATTTAGGAGGTGGCGGTGGTGGTGGAGGTGGTGGTGGTGGTTGAGGACTAGGGGGAGGTTCTGGTTTCGGAGAAGGATTTGGTGGTGGGCTTGGAGGTGGTGATCAAGGAGAAGGAGGAGGTTTCGGTGGTGGAGGCGGATTGGGTGGAGGATCTGGGAGTGGATTTGGATTTGGTGCTGGCTATGGCGGTGGAATGGGAGGTGGAGGAATCCCTTAAGTAATTAAAGGAGTTTCAGTCCCATACATTTCCAATTCATACCTAGTGATCATTTTTATGGCTCAATTAAAAATAAAGTTCTAGATAGCATATGTTTAATGGAAGCTTCATTTTGTTGATTAATATATTTGAATAAATTTGATCACGATATGCATTATTTACAACAAGTCCTCAAATTTAATATAAATTTCATTATGCAAATTGTTTCATGTTTAATCGATAGTTTTCTTTCAATAACTGAAGAGAGGAGAAAGAATTCTTATTTTAGTATAAGAACTACATAAAATAATTTCATCTTCTGAGCAATCGAAGAATAATGGTCCCTTCATAGTCAAGCCAACCTAATATGCCCCTAAGTAGAAGTTATGTATTGCATGTTATAATTTAGAAGTAGGAAGCCGTTGGCGGGCGGTGAGCCATCCCTACAAGGAAAATGTCAAACGAACATAATGTTTGACACAAAGGATGACATCACACTCACAACCGAGGCGTGGGTCTCTCTCGAATAAAATAATACCGATCTCCTCATGTGTGTGTTATGTCAACCCCTATATTCGTGTAGCACGACCCTCCCTATAATGTTAACCCAAAAGGAATTTATCGAGTTTCGAAGTTTCATATATTTAAAACAAAAAATGCATTAAATAAATTAAGTTGTTTAATTTTGACATAGCTAACTACTTGTATGTATATTATGGTACCTGCATGTTGAAGATGAACCCTATAAATTGAGCTAATGCCCTATGTACATTATATTTTAAATGATTTTAATAGTGATGGGTGAAGAAATTTAGGGCGGCAGTGGCGTTTTCCGGTGAATGGGATTCGTGGTTGGAACAAGATGAGGTATTTTTATGATGTGAATTTTTCATTATGACGTGACATAAGAATTCAAACAATCGACTTCGAGCAAGGGATTCCTATGCTAAGGAGGATCCCTGCTCTTGACCCGATTCTTATTGCAAGTACCTTGATCAACCATAATCATTCTACTTTACACAAAGTCAACATTATCAATATTATTAGATGAATTTTGCTACGTATATAGTTTTGTTCACCATTTGAGCTGACGGCAAATGAATCAAATTGAATGTAAGAAGTAAATGAATTGAAATAAAATTCACATTTAATCTAAGAAATAAATAAAATTTAAATTTAATTTGAAAGTAATTTAAATTACATTTAATTCATAAGGATCCTAAAATTTTTTAGTCATATGCCATGTAAGATTTCTTTAAAAAATGATGTAAATTACAGTAAAAATTTCGTGAGAAAATAATAAATGTTATTTAAATAATTGGATTTTTTTAAAGAAATACGAGTTAGACTCCTCCTTTAAGGCCTATGTTTGACACATATTTAATTATTTTCAATACCCGTTTGGATCATTCAATATGACTACAATGTATTCTCGAAACGAGCTTCTTGATGACGTAGGCAATTTGTGGATTCGGATAATATATGACCATCGACGAATTTTGAAAGTTAACATCTTATTGAAATACTAGTTTAAAACGACCTACTTTACTGCATCATAACTTTTGTTATGACTGGTCCTTTTGCACGTCATTAACGAGCGAAAAATTAGCCATGCACTCTTCAAAATGATATAAGAACGCAATGTTTCAATTTCATTTTATTTCCCGTGATGAGTACGTCATCGTAAAAAAGTCAAAACACTATTTTTTGGGGGGAAAAACCTAAAAATTTGACTCCACGTGGCCCATATGGGTCCGCACAATGGTCATATTTCTTTTCCTGCTAAGGAATGTATCGAAGTTAAAATTGTTAAACTGACTTTATACATTTGCTCTGTAATAAATTGCTTTGGCAGCATAGCTTAGATAATAATCCGATAAATAAATGCATATTGGTGATAGTAAATCAAACACCTCATACATGTAATTTGTTCGTAAAAAAACAAAGATAGCTGTTTCGTAATACATTCTCGAAGGCTACATTTGAACACGATGTGCATTATTTACTTATTTTCAGCATGTCAACAACTTTAATATAAATTTCATTATGCAAATTGGTTCATGTTTAATCCATAGTTTTCTTTCAATAATTGAAGAGACGAGAAAGAATTATTATTTTAGTATAACAACTTAATAAAATGATTTCATCTTCTAGGAGATCGACGAGTACTGGTCCCTTAATTATCAAGCCAACCTAACATGCAACTAAGTGGAAGTTATGCATCACATGTTATAATTTAAAAGTTGGAAGTCATCGGTAGTGAGCCATTTCTAAATAAAAATAAATAATGTCAACCCAAAAGGAATTTATTGAGGCTCGAAGTTTCATATATTTAAAACAAATATGCATTAAGTAAATTAAGTTGTTTAATTTTGACATAGTATTAGTATATAAATAGGCCAACTACTTGTAAGTATATTATGGTACCTGCATGTTGAATGTGAACCCTAAAAATTGAGCTAATTATGCCCAGTGTACATTACATTCTCAAACAATCTATTTATTTAGTCCTATAGAGCGACGAAATTCTATGCTGAGAAGGATCCCTGCTCTTGACCTAGTAACAGGGATCCAACATACCCAAACAAATTGCTTTACTTATGCATCGCCTAAACAAAGCACACCCTAAGTCAACACAAGCCATCACAAGCAATAAGTTTCGTTAGTGGCGGATCCAGCAGATTGCTAGCAATTGTGGCCGTGCATGTTGGATCCACTTAGTGCATTTTTTTTTTTTTTTTTTTTTGACAATAGATAATTTTTTAGCATATATTATGGTAATTCATTTTAATTTCAAACTTCTCTTCTTACTAAGTTGGTTAGAGCTTGCATATACAATTTTTACAAAAATTAATGCAATAAGGAGTGATCAAAGGTGATTCAAATTTGTGAGCTCTTGTTATGATTATTGAAAACTTAACCATTATGGCACTTCTCGAATTTTGACACTAAATTTAACAAAATAATATGTGCTAGATTTTGGTGATTTTAATGCAATTGTAAAGATTCGAACGTGTGCTCTTCCTTTGAATTATACAAAAGTTGGCAACAATGTTATTTAGTGAGTACGGTTTATTCTTATAGTAGAATTATATATGTTCAATTTGAACAAATAATTGTTATACTTAAATTTTAGGCCTTATTTGATTTCCATTTATTTGAAAATACATTTTTATCTTTTTTTATTTTCAACAATATATTCTTCAATAAAATAATATTACATTCAAATTCAAAATGTTTCCTTATTTTTAACCGCACATTCTACATCAAATCATTATTCCAAAATGTATTTTTCACAAAAAAGGGAAATCAAATAGGTTCTTAAAATTTTATTGTGGTCGACAGTCAACGGTCAATAGCCGCCCGTGCTGACTCAAAATCCTAGACCCACCATTGAGCTTCGGCCAGATTTCTAAGAAAATCTAGATTGGCGGTCATACGAGAAGGAAACTCGTATTGACAAGGCTAGCGGCATGTTTCTACCCCTTGCCAACATAGGCTTCTTGTTCATGTACGACTGCCAAGTCTCAATTTTCTTAAAGATCTGGTCGATTAACTCTTACTGCAAGCATGTTTTAAATTGGTCCTAAAATGAACATTTATTTTAATTTCAAAACATCTATTACTGGTAATTCATTTACCTGAAAATTGCTCCATCACATGATGGAGCAATCAGGTGGATTTGGATCATTGACTGGACATACAACATATGCTTGGCATGGACTCGGACAGTAATATGGTGGGTACGGCGGACAAGGTAGAGGCTGGAACGGTGGACATGGAGGTGGGCACGGTGGTGGACACAGTGGAGGAGGTGGAGGTGGACGTGGAGGCGGAGGTGGTGGAGGCTTCACTTCTTCCACGCTTACAATTTCCACATAGCAAAATTTCTTCCTGAGAGACATAATCAAGCAAGCAGCATCAATTCCTTCTCCAGTTACAACCATTTCATCATCCTTTATTATAGTCATCGAGATCACCCCTGAACCACAATTCGAAATAATATAAACAAAAATATTATAGAAAAATACGTACAAAATGTTATGGATTAATATGTGCATACCTGGTTCAGCCGCAACAATCTGCATGGCTTTAGATTGCATTTTTTCACTTCGCATTGTCACCTTGATCACTATTTTTTGCTGAAAATAAATTCGAACCAAAATCAATGAATCCATTCTAAACTTATTTCTCAACACTGTGTCTATTATAATTTTAAAAAAAAAAAAAATAGAGACAGAAAAGTAAAAAGACAACGTTAATTATAACTTGACAGAAAGTTCATTAATTTCTTGGAAAAATTGTTAATGGCTTACCTTCATGTTTGGCTATAATTTAAATTGCTCGAGTGCATCTGATTACGGGTTTATTTATATTAAACAGAAACTTTTGCTTATGAAGGAATCTAGGTGGAAACTTCAAACTAGTGAAGCAACTAACTACTACGGAGATTTGCTAAATGCACACCCCTCACATGAGGAGGGGCCGCAATGAAGACTAGAGTGTACAAATAAAATTTTCCAACCACAAAGTCAACTAAAGAAATAAAAATAAAAAGGAAAATGATATCCTCTGGATGCAGATCGAATTAGTGGGGCATTGAATTAGAAATTAATCGAGTGTATGTACAAAATTAAAGGGACAAAGAGGAATTAACATACGATGATATTAAAATTTGAGGTTTCATCTTAAGACGTCACCTTGTTAATATTTGATCCTCGTTTCGAGCTCATTTTAATGAGTTTTTTTTTTTTTAATAACAATATCTCATTAATCACAGTGAAAAACTAGTAAAAAATGCAAAAGTTGAACCTACTTTGCTAGATTTTAATGTGCTGTAGGACACCAATGTTTACAGTCATTAATGAGGAATTCAAAAAATTTATTGCAATAAATTAAATATCTATTTTAGTATCAGAGTAATGTTATTTAGCTCCACTTGGATTACAACTCCAATTTAAGTGGCGTTAATGTGATATTAAATAATAGGTAGATTTAAATAAATAATTTAATTTCACATATCATTCGACCTAATATTTAGCCCTATCTTAAATTGAGATTGTAACCCTAGTGGGATTGCACAGCATTATTCTCAGAACTAATATCAAACACAAAGTCAAAGGCAAGTAAGTGAAAGGAAGATTAAAAGTTGAGACAGCGGATTCTTAATTTTCTAAAACAAAATATATACTAAGAACAGCTGAGCTTCCAATATTATTTTGACTGGACGCATATAAGTTTCACTAAAATAAATTGAAAAGAATTTTCTGAGTAGAGCTTCCGATTTGTGACAAAAAGTTGAAAGGATAATTTATTGCGTAGGGAAGACTTCGAATTTGTGCAGAACGTTTTGTGGAAAATTTTTTAATTTGTGCAGAACGTTGATTAGGAAATGGGGGATTCGTTGAAAATAATATATTTGTCCACTTGCTCTCTACCTTTTCCACGCAAATCAAACCTAAATTTAGGATTGAAATAACCCCTCGTATTTGACTTTTTAATATTATATGTCTGGTGTAGCTGTACATAAAAATTAAAGTGTTCTTGGTTGTTAAAACAAATATCAGAAAAATAAATTAATTTGCAAGGTGATAATAGACGGGGGAGTTGGGGCCAGCGGGTCCTAAACTCCAGTGAAATTTGAGAAATTTTTTATTTTTTATTTTTTTTAAAGACTTCACTGATTTCGAGTCTTGGTTTCGTGACTAATCAGGAGGATCATGGACTAGGGGATGTACTCAATGCATCACAAAGAGCTTAATTATTGCTTTGTATATATTCTAATTCTAATAATTTAAAAATATCCCAATTTAATAATTTTGAGACGCTAATTCACCTAACAGCCAATTTACATTTTGCAAATAATTTAGGAGCTAGAATTGAGTCTTAGTCAAGATCTAAAATATAAAAAGGAAATTAGTTATGTTGAATTTTAGAGGGCTAATTGCAGTTTTAATTATGCTACGAGGGGCAAGCACATAGTACAAAGTCAAGACCTTACGCTGCAGCTGTACACATTTAGGACATTAAGTCAGCATGTCCTTATAAGCACATGGGCATAGTTTATATATAGGACAGTGCACACAGCACGGTTCATAGTCCTCTCAGAGTGGGGAGCTCGCGACAATAAAAAAGAACCCCCCTCACCCCACATGTGAGGGGGGCTGTGGGAGCTGCTGCACAGGCAGGTCAACCCTCATTTATAAAAAGGTTGAACCCCAACCTTAGGGGCCCCCACCGACCCTGCCCTGGACCATCGTGGAGGAGGTAAATCGCAGGATGTGCCTTCCAGGAGCCAGGGTGGAGAGCACATGGATAGGCCAAGGCTGTTAACCCATATGGTAACTCCCGCTTGCAACAAAGCCAATTCCACCTTGCGGGGAATCGAACTCTGCACACTGCCGCGCTGAGCCCTATCCGCCCTCCCCTTTGCCACTGGGAGATATGCCCTGGGGGCATGGTCAACCCTCATTTATAAGTTTTGATAGCTTTTGTTAAGCTTAAAACGAAATAAAATTTACTAATAAGATTTTATTTCAGATATAAATTTAAACTTAACTTTCATACTTAGCTGAACATATTTTTAAGTTTTAAAATAACTAATTTTTTATTAACTACGAAAATAATTAAGTTGTTTGTTTTAAAAAGAAACCTCAATCTCTTATTTCAAAACAGGTTGTTATATCTGAAAAAGAAGAAAACTATTTATTAGAAATAAAAATTGATTGTGATATTAGAGAGTTGATGCATGGTTAATTTGATTTCTGCTGAATTCTATTATTTGTGGAAATTTAACGGAGAATTTTCGTTTAAGTTTACCGTTTGAAGTTGACCCACGTATTAAGCCAAGTTAGGTGGGGCTAATGTTATATTAGTGGCTACCAAATTTGGTTATGTATATGAATTATAATCTCCCAAGATTCCAAACATTTGATTGAGGTATCAAGTTAAAGCCAGTTTTCTCAAGTGGCCAAGTTAGGGTTATTATTTTAAATCTTCGATAATTTTAAAACGAGTTGAACATTCAGATTAAACTGGTCAAATACAGTTTTTATCTTCACAATTTATAGACTCATAAATTATTATTCGCTTTTTTATCTACATCTTTTATGGGATTGTTATTTAAATTATTATTTTAACAGTATTGAATAAGCAAAAGAAGTTAATGGTGGAATTTTCAGCGATAATAATTAATTGGATATCCTCCGGATGCAGATCGATTTGGTGGGGCAGTGAATTAGAAATTAATCGAGTGTGTGTAAAAAATTAAAGAGACAAAGAGGAATTAACATACGATAATATTAAAATTTGAGGTTTCATCCTAAGACGTCATCTTGTTAATATTTGATCCCCGTTTTTGAGCTCATTTTAATGAATTTTTTTTTTTGTTTTTTTGGGTACAAAATCTCATTAATCTACAGTGAAAAACGAATAAAAAATGCAAAAGTTGAACCTATTTTGCGATATTTTAATTTGCCTTTATTGGACGTTGGATATTGTTTGGACTCATTTACCCTCATCTAACCAAGTCTATTGACATCGTTACTAGCACCCGAGACATATTACAGTTGTGCAAAGGATAGAAGTGAGATAGTCTCAGCCTTATTGATAGCCACAGTGTGAGGGTTCGATTTCTGAAATATGAAATTGAACTCTTTGTGAGCATCAGTGTACGGGTAAGCTCTTGTTCTTTGGCCTATTGGGACACATCTCGCAATTTATCTCTTTCACGATACTCCAGAGGCCAGGAGATTAGGACCCTTAAGATTGTGAATCAACATTTTTTTTTTTTTTATTGAGACCATTACAAATGTCAATAAAATTGGGAGAATAATATTTGGACCACTGTATGGAAAAGTCAAAAAGTGGTAGCCTTATCGGTTGGAATGATGCAACTATTTCGTACATGTGGAACACAAATTATGAAAATGAGATTGAAAAAGTTGGAAAGAATGTGGGCGAAGCACACACCGGCTTGGTCCCATTATTTTTTCATTAAAATGAAGAATATAATTGTTATCTATCATATTAAATTACCAAATTTAAATTTCTATCTCTTGTGTGGAGCTCGTAATAGCTATATTTTTCATTCTCATTCTTCAAAAAATGAGAAACAAACATGGACTACGATTTGATTGTGCAGTGAGATTTGCTCGAGGACACTAATGTTTACAGTCATTAATGAGGAGTTCGAAAAATTTATCGCGATAAATTAAATATATAATTTAGTACTAGAGTAAAGCTATTTAGCTCAACTTGGATTACAATCCCAGTTTAAGTGACGTTAACGTAACATTAAATAATATGTGGAATTAAACAAGTAATTTAATTTCATATTTCATTCAACCTATTATTTAGTGCTATATAAATTGAGATTATAATTTCAGTGGAGTTATACAGCATTATTTTCAGTACTATTACCAAACACAAAGTCGAAGGCAAGTAAGTCACAGGAAGATTAAAAGTCGAGACGAAATTCTTAAATTTTTAAAACACAATATATAGTAATAACAGTTGAGCTCCCAATATTATTTTGACAAGACACATATATGTTTTACTAAAATAAATTGAAAAGAATTTTGTGAGTAGAACTTTCAATTTGTGACAAAAAGTTGAAACGATGACTTACTGTGGACGGAAAACTTCAAATTTTTATAGAACGTTTTGAGAAAAATTTATTAATTTGCTAGTTGATTAGAAAATGGGGGATTCGTCGAAAACAATATATTTGTGCACTTACTTTCAGCTCTCAACCTATTCCACGCAAATCAAACCTTAATTCAGGATTGAAATAACCCCTCGTGACTAGAATTTTGCATAGTAATTGGTTGTTAAAATGAGATTCGATTTATCATAGTAAAGTAAGTACTATTATATATGCTTAAGAAATTTGCAAGGTGATAATCAAGAGCAAGGACGGGGGAGGTGGGGCTGGCCGGTGGGGCCGGCCAGTGGGTCCTAACCTCCAGTGAAATTTGAGAAATTATTTTTTTATTTTTTGTTTTTAAAAAAATTCATTAGTTAAATTAGACTTCACTGATTTCGAGTCTTGGTTTCGAGACTAATCACTGGGGGATGTAGTCAATCCATCACAAAGAGCTTAATCATTGCTTTGTATATATTCTAATAATTTAAAAATTAGTTATGTTGAATTTAGAGGGCTAATTGCATTTTTAATTTTGACACGAGGGGAAAGCACATGGACTTTAAAAAGTCAAGATCTTGCGCTGTAGCTGTACTCCTTTAATCATTGCTTTGTATATATATTCTAATAATTTAAAAATTAGTTATGTTGAATTTAGAGGGCTAATTGCATTTTTAATTTTGACACGAGGGGAAAGCACATGGACTTTAAAAAGTCAAGATCTTGCGCTGTAGCTGTACTCCTTTTAGGCCATTATCGCTATGATTGGTAGACGTAACTCAATAACGTCAGCATGTTATATTGCTCCCGTTTTTAGCTCCT